CGCTACGAGGCAGATAGATAAAGTTTTCTCTCGTCCTTGTCCCTCCGACTCTCACAGCGTCCGTGCGAAGCCGTGAGTACAGCTTCGAGGTACGTGGTAGGACGCGTGAGTGACTGGGCACTTGTTCAGCAGTAGGCTAAGCGCTTCTCACAAAATATTCGCCCAGGTAGTGTGCATTTGCCCCGCAAAATAAAAGTTAGCACAGAGCATCGGTGTGGTGTCTGTGATTTGTGTGTGGAGCAATTGCGTGGGACCGATCACCTGGTTGGCGGGGGCCCGGTGGGAGCTGATCGATGTGGTGGAGGGAGTGGAAGGGGCGGACGTCGTGCCCCACCTGCCCAGCGAGGGCGGTGGGGTGGACGTCGGCCCCCACACACTTTGTGTAATCACCGTATTGCAGCCTAAATGTACATAGCTGCATATAACACTGAACTGTGGATGAGATACTTCTTCATCCTTGCTCTCAAGAACGCATTAAAGTTACATGGGCACAAGTCTGGATCGATTTATCCAACTACAAATAACATTCACAATAATGCAAGTGGCAGGCCTCATTGTTAACTAGGCCTCATATTCATCATAACAATTTAACAGCATTATAAATGCATTTACAGCATCATAACGGCAATTCTAACATTATAACAGCATTCCCAGTATTATAAGAACATAAATGAACTTACAGACAATGCTTCTTAAAGTCCCGCCATGAACAGATGCACCCGTCTTCACTGAGACGCTGATTGTTCCTCCATTTTATACTCCGTGTAATGGCTGACACACCTGCCTGGCCTCGTGCTTTAGATACCCTTTACTCGTAACTTCCTGGTCACGTGACCAAACTCAACACCATCGTATCAGGAAGTTCATATGTAAACATACCCCCATAGCTGCAGTGGGGCAGAACACGCGCGCACCGGGGGAATAGTTCGTACAATTGCATTAAGAACCGTCCATAAATGACGTCACACACCTGGGGGGGGGGGCGGGGTCAGACATTTGTGACGATGTGTGACGAGGGGGGGGGGGTTCAGAAATGTGACGTCACATCAAAATGCGCAACTCGGAATATATATACACAACACGTTCTACTTAATAAAATATACGTTTTAATAAATGTTTTCTCCTACAACATCAGAGTGCAGCGCCGCATTACATACGCACTACAATGACAATAGTTTAAAGCGATTTTAAGCACGTTTTATTTTGGGGGGGAGGGGCAGAGCTTTGTGACGTCATATTTGAGGGGGGTCTGACTTTTGTGACGCCGTGTGACGAGGGGGGGGGGGTCAAAAGTCGTCCAAAATCGACGTGACGTAATTTATGGACGGGGGGCTGGCGCCCTTCTTCCCATTCTTGGCTTGCTCATGCGTACACACAAAGGCAAAGATCCCCCGTATAGCCTGAACAGACTGTTGGGGCAAGTGCCGTTAGCGAGCACCTATCTAGGTCAGCATGGCACACGAAGGGGTGGGTGGCCAGCACCACGTCCGGCCGCCTTTGTCTCCCCAGTGGCGATGTTTACACACCGCACAAGGTACTAATTTGAGGCTGAATCGACCTAAGGGAGGCCCACGACCGAATCAAATAATCGTCACTGGTGTTGGCTGTGAGTGGGAATCGAACCCCGGTCGCCGGGTTCGTAGCGCAGAAACAAAAATCCCCCGTATAGCCTGAACAGACTGTAGGGGCAAGTGCTGTTAGCGAGCACATATGAAGGCCGGAACGGTACCCGAGGGGGTGGGTGGCCAGCACCACGCCCGACCGACTTTGTCTCCCTAGTGGCGATGTTTACACACCGCACCAGGTACTCATTTAAGGCTGAGTCGACCTAGGGGAGGCCCAGGACCGGTTCAGATAATCGTCACTGGTGTTAGCCGTGAGCGGGAATCGAACCCGGATCGCCAGGTTCATAGCGCAGCGCGCTAACCGCTACACTACCGCTCACCACCAGAAACAAAGATCCCCCGTATAGCCTGAACAGACTGTAGGGGCAAGTGCTGTTAGCGAGTTACTGTTAGTGCTGTTAACACACACACACAGACACACACATACATAAACTCGTACACGCAAACCAACCACTGCACACCTGAACATGTTTCAGGCTATCTGCACTGCCACGCACGAGCCTACACTTCATTTCGTCTCAGAGCAACACTCAATTCTCTAGCCGTATATAAACTCGTGATGCATTCATGCGCAGATGGTTATTGGGCTCTCCATTTATGTGTGCAGCATTTATTTCGTCGATACGATCTTCAGAAAATACCACAATAATAAGTAGCAGCCTGCATGTCTTGGGGATGTGACCGTCCATGCGTCCGTTCGTGGCAGGCAGGCAGACTTAACAAAAAATAAACATAGTACTCTATAATAATTTCAACCATAGCGAAGCTGGAATGCATCAGCCTGGTGGTGAGCCAGAGCCAACAATTTCCCAAGCTCTGCGGTCCTCAGTGTGTGTAGGTGTTATCGGCCCATTGATGAGTGTGCACACGTGGCAGTAAACTGGAGAAACACGTCGCGTGCGAGGAGGAAAAACTCTGTCCCATGCAGACGGAACAGGTGGAGTCCACGTTGCTTGCGGTACCGCCATCTCCTGGCGAGCCAGGGTTATGACGCCTGATCGACGCCCCACGGGACGGGAGAGTTTCACGACATTTGTGCGGTGATCCACCAACTGTCGCTGCTGCCTCCACAGTGCGGGATCACAGGCCACGTGGCTATCCACGACCGCCCGGCTAAATGTCACGTTGATTAACTTTGGTGATAGCTTATCTCCTTGCCTGACTCTTACGATAATCTTGTTGCTTTCTTCATACAAATCTCATCCTTGCGGGTTCGTATCTACAAATGGTTTCAATAATTTCCATATTCGTGTTTCTAAACAATAAACCGATAACCATTTCCAATGATAAATGTGCTTCTTATTATTTCGTATGGCTGATGATGTCGATGCAGAGCGACAGCTACAATTTCACATGTCGGTTTGTCAAGTCAGATCACCGCGTCCGGGAGCAGCGGAGTGTTATCACTGTGCTGTCTCTTTCGTATTTGTGGATCGGGACATCGCGTCGTTCTATCTTGTACGGTCTGTTCTGGATGACTGCAGTCGCGCACTGCAGAGTTTTAATTTTTCATTCGTGCATCAGGTATCCGCATCTGCCATGGTTTGTGCGGATGCGGTTTAGGGTGGACCATGAGCTTCGTGGAAGATAAAACTCAGGGACATTCTACGCTGGGTTTTTCACAACAAGGTGTTTGTGAGTTCTTTTGAACTCGTGCTCACAATGCGCTTGTGAGCACGTGCGAACACACAAGTCACCACGTGGTACATTGGTCCTCGTTTCTCAGGCAAAGGGTTAAGGCGCAGCACCTGAAATCCCTCACTCACGCCCCTGCAGGCATAAGGGCCTCAACGAGAGGGAGCTCTCAAGGGGCTTTGTTTTCTATGTCTACGGTGACTAGATGTCTTGGAGCTGAACATACCCACACATTTACCCCACGACCCGCGATCATCCACTCCCTGTGGCGTGCCCGTTCATATTGCTGGGTGGAGAGATCGAATCGAGAAGGCGACCTCTGCATTTCAAGTCCGATGTGCTAAACATTGACTAGGCCACTGTGACAGATCCGTTTGGTTCTCGTTCAACATGTTAGAATGTTATATTTTGTTTACGAGGCGTGTGTTCGGTTACCTGGAATGCAACAACACAACTATTCAAACAATCCTTATTCCACACATGTATATGTCAGCCTTAAATGCATAATTTCCACCGAGGCAAATGCTGTTTTGTGGTCTACAAGAGAGGCACATGATTGTATTTTACATTATGTTTTATTTTTATTTTCGGGAACATTTTTGATATTGTGAATGGGGTGGATGGTATTACAACAAAACAATCCCGCTCGGAATCCAAATTTCTTGCTTTGTTCGGTTAGCCTCCAAATTGTCCATTATTTGCGTGTGTATAACAAAAAAAAACATTTGCAATTTCACAGGGAGACTTGACGCCATAATGAATTCTTGATATTTGACACATTTTGCTCATTAGCGCGCCTAAATTGCCTGCATATTTCATTATTAATGCTGCACGTGCTTCTGATTATAATCTCAATTAACAGCGTGCAGCTTGTATGGGTGACAGATGCGTCCCACGAATTACTGGACTTAAATAAACGAGAGAGAGAGACCACATCGCCAATCAGCACTCTTTAGATTGTGACATGGCCCAGGTGACATCGCCGAGCGGGAGCCGCGTTCGCCTGATTGTTGAAGAGCTTCATAGTTCGAATCCCAGCGGCCGCCCTGGTTATTATGACTGCGCGTTTAAGATCCCGTGACGGCACTCGCAAGAGTATGCCATTGCGTGGCGGCGTCACGATCCACATTTTCCATATTTCACCTTTGGCGTCCTCCGGTCTAACACCGTTTGAGACTTGGCTCGAAAGAAAGCTGTCTCTGTTGTGGACAAATTAGTTTCAAAGACAATGCATATGTTATCAGAGTATGTTTTTTTGTTTGCATTCTGACCACAAGTATTGTGGTTAATGCAGACATGATTCCTTTTAAAAGTTTCAGTTTGGTGTTTTAACATCTTAACACCTGTTTTATTGCCAGACAATAGGGGAAAACCTCTTCTCAGAAAAAAATTACTTAACCGAAAAATAATTGTTTTGGAAAATACAACACCAATCATCGCAACTTGGATGCCAGGGACCCTCCAAGCAAAGACGTGAAACTCTTTGATGGGGCTTTGCATGTGTCCCGTACCAGCCCTGGTCATTGTTGCGGCGTGCATGCGTGCGTGGTGAGTGGACGTACGCCCGCGTAATATAGGAGCTCGCTGGCACGCCAAATACGCAGCCACTCTGCGTGCTTCGGTGTGCGTGTGTGTGGCTGCTATATAAAAGGAGAGCGTGGACGGCGAGGTTAGGTACAGCAGGCGAACAAGGCGGCGGAGGGAGTCCAAATCCTTAAGCCCTGAAGCGGATCAGCTCCGTCTATCTCTCTCGCTCTCTCTGCGTGTCGCGTCGACGCTTCGTTCATCATTCACCATCTACCCAATCGTCCCTTTCGGTTTCACTGCCAAGTAAAAAAAACACGCACGTGCTGTAGCCAGAGCATCTTCGGAACGTGGAATGAATCACCGAATAATAATGATAATTATTGTGAAATCTGCATAGATAATATAAGCGTGCAATATTTATGTGCATATTAAGTAATTGTAATGTTAAAGGTTGAATTTGTATTTTGCGTAAAACCTAATGAGACGTGAGACAAAAAAAAATCAACACTTTGCAAGGGACGCTTCGGCAAATAATAATGTTGGTGTTTGGAATAATTCGCTGTCTGTTTCGTGAGTCTTTGGCTTAGCAATTGCGTGTGTGGGACGAGGGTAGAGGTGTTTCGCCTAATTGTGTACTCGATAAAATAGGTCGGAGTCGTCTTTGCAGTCTGAATTCTAGCTACAACGCACATTGTGTGTGAATCTCGGCTACCACGGGTTTCATCATCTTAATATACATGTACAATGCAAACTATCGAATATACAGATACTTAAACAAAAGGCGACAATAACATTCGATATATGATTAAAATCACGCGTGTTACAAATAACCAGCTCATTAAGTAACACGACAACAATCTAATGCAACAATCATCTCAGAAAAAAACACAGACGAAAACACATCAATCGCTCTCGGCAGCAAATCAATTTATTCACCACGGAAGCGAGCGGCAGTCCGTTTGTCTGGCAGCGAGGCGGCATCAATCAACGATGAACGTCAGCCAAGTTGTGACTCCGCGAGATCCGAGCATGACGCCTCCTCAACATCTCTCCCAGGAGCAGGAGCACTTCGAGGGATTCCTCGTGCTCCTGTCCCTCAAGCCGATCTTCATCCCGCTCTACGCCCTGCTCACGCTGGTCGGCGTGTCGGGCAACCTCCTCCTCATCTTGGTCATCGCCAGAACCAAGCGGCTTCACAACGCCACCAACTTCTTGCTGGGCAACCTCGCGCTCTCGGACCTGCTGGTGTGCCTCACCTGCGTGCCCATCTCCGCCGCCTTCGCCTTCGAGCCCCGGGGCTGGGTCTACGGAGCCCTGCTGTGCTACCTGGTGGCCCTGCTGCAGCCGGCCACGGTCCACGTGTCCGTGCTGTCGCTCACGGCCATCGCGTTGGACCGCTACGTGGTGGTGGCCTACCCCATCCGGAGGCGCGTGGCCGTGCGGTCGTGCGCGCTCACCGCGGGCTTCATCTGGATCGCTTCGGCCGCGCTTGCCTGCCCCGCGGCCGTCAACACGGTCTACATCGACTTCCGCACCGAAGAACCGCAGGTGGGCAAATCCCGGGCTCAGCCGCTTTTGTCATCGGTCACCTTCACGACACGATGTCAATTGTGACGACATGGCGATTATCGGTTTCTGTTCGCTGTGTTCATGATAGTTACAATTTGATGGTGACGATGTATCCAAGAAAGTCGCTATTTTTTCAGGTGAGGTCCTGCATTGGGTTTTTACTTTCAGATTTGTGCAGCCAATTAATGCTGAGTTGTTTACTATACAAGTGGCAGCAAACCCGGAGGAAACCCTCGACTTGCGCTAGGGGGCTACACTCTGGGCTGCCCTCTATCCCCGTACAGATGGATAGCAGATGGTAATTAGTTCACTTGCTCTACTGCCTTCTCGAGCGAGGGTATGGGATCTCGACGCCCACGCGAAGAGAGTTTCCCAACACGGGTACAACCCACCAACGCTCGCTGCCGCCTGCACACCGCTGGGTTACCGCAGGTTTGCCACGTGCCGCAAAGCCACCTGCGTGGCTCTGCATGGCAGTGAGCAGGAGATGAGGACCAATGCCGCAATGCAAATTTGAGAAGCGGAATCACTTGAGACTTTAGAATAGTATTTGTTTATGTATGTCGTCGTCTTGTTTGGCCCTTGGACGCACTGTGCCGTCACGCGCTTCATGTACGGATCTATTAGAGCTTCGAAGAGCATTCAGCCGCACTGCACAGTCACAACCGAAGCCTGCCACAAGTTTGTGCAATCAATGTGCTGCGTGGGCCTCGACAATGCGTATGGCGCGCGTTTTCAGTGCACTGCGGTCATTTACTCCGGAGAACGTTTTACGCACCGCCAATGTAATGGGGCAGAACTTGTGTTAATAACCGTAATTACGATTGTCGTCTTCCATTGTTATTTCATAATCATTATGTGAAGGAGTGAGACTTTTCAGAAACAAACATGCCACTACGCACTTGCACACCACTCGAATACGCACTAAAGGCAAATATCCCCGTGTAGCCTACACGGGCTGTTGGGCCAGGTGCTGCTCGTAAGGACCTGGGCAGGCCAGCTGGGTGCACGAGCGGGTGGCATATAGGACCAGCACCAAGCCCCGCCACCTTTGTCTCCCCAGTGCCAGTGTTTACACACCACATCAGGTGCTCATTCTAGGTTGAATTCACGTCGGGGAGATTCAGCACCACTTCAGATATTCGCCACTAAGCGATGTTCACGTCGTCACAGCGTTTGTGCCAGGCTAGGTGCACTTCGCAGCCCCGTCAAATTGTGGAAGGCTCGCTGGCAGGAGGTTATGTGTTGACTGAGACCACTGGCAGGTGCACAGCAACAACGTGCTGTTTGTTTGTTTATGCGCCCTGCGTTCTGCTCATTGTCGTGAGCGTCTCTCCTCCCTCTGTCAAGTGCCCAGTCGAGTACACAAAGACAAAGATCCCCCGTAAAGTCTAGCCTACTTTTGGGGCAAGTGCTATCGAAAAGCGCCAATGAAGGCCGGCACGGCACACGAAGGGGTGGGCGGCCAGCACCACGCCCGGCCGCCAAGGACGGTACTCATTTGAGGCTGAGTCGACCTTAAGGAGGACGAGGACCGGCTCAGATAATCGTCACCGGTGTTGGTGGCCGTGAGCGGGAATCGAACTCGCGTCGCTTGGTTCGTGACCCAGCGCGCAGCCGCGGCACGCTGCCGTGCGTGGACGGCACGCGCGCGCGTTCAGCACGCGTTCAGGACGCGTTCTCGCGTTCACGCGTTCAGGACGCGTTCCCGCGTTCAGGACGCGTTCAGCACGCGTTCACGCGTTCAGCACGCGTTCACGCGTTCAGGACGCGTTCACGCGTTCAGGACGCGTTCTCGCGTTCAGGATGCTCGCGCGTTCATGCACAGAATTAACATCTTGCGCTCGACGTGAGCATTGTCGGATGACGCGGAGATTTGTAAAACTGTCGTCGTCAGTCAAAACGTCATCAGTGGCTGTGCGGTGACCAACAGATGGCAACACGGCCATCTGTTGGTCCTGATCGAAACACTTGGTGTGGTTATTGAGTCAATGCACGATCGGTTTCTAGTCGAGGTTGAGACCATCCATCAGGTGTTCAGCAAAGAGCCTCTAGGCCTCGCGTGGACGCGCTGCCTGATCTGGGGCTGCCCGCGAGTCGGATCGATGACATTATCAGGACAGCCACGCAGACGGACCGAGTTAACAATTAGGAGTTGATCAATGGTTGCTTTCTTGTAATTTACCGGGTTAAAATAGTGGTGAAACCAACAAGATTCCTCAGATCGTCTTGTACTGCTATTTTAGTCGTCCCAAAGGCCAGGACCAAAACCGAGGGAGGAGCAGCTTTTAGTGTGTACAGTCCTCACCTGTGGCACAGCACGCCAGGGGAACTGAGGGCTTCAGAATCATTAAGCACTATTAAAATACATCTAAAAACGTACTTTTTAAAACTTGCTTTAAATTAATATTTTCTTAATGTGTTCTTTTTTTTATTACGTCTTTGCAAAACATTTGTTGAGTAATTTTACTTCGCCTACAATGTCACTGTTACTGTTGATGCCTGTAAAGCACCATGTATTGCATTTGTTTGCACGAATAGTGCTATTGAAAGAAAGTTTGATTGGTTGAAAATATGCTATCCTTCATTATATTCAGGTGTATTGTGTTACAGAGTAATTAATATCAGCTGCTGAAAAGTGTAGTTGTACGTAAAACATTCACCTAAGGGGGTATGGCAGAAGATATAATTTAGTGTAAATGTATCAGTTGTTGTTTGTCGCAATATTCGAGTAACGGCGCTTAGAGATATAGTTGCTGGGATGAAGCTGATTGACTGGGTCGGGTCTCACCGCTGGTGGCTGTGCACGCGGCTGCATGCAATCCCGCACTGTGGAGGAAGCAGCGACGGTTGGTAGATCACCGCACAAATGTCGTGAAACTCTCCCGTCCCGTGGGGCGTCGATCAGGCGTCATAACCCTGGCTCGCCAGGAGATGGCGGTACCGCAAGCAATGTGGACTCCACCTGTTTCGTCTGCATGGGACAGAGTTTTTCCTCCTCGCACGCGACGGGTTTCTCCGGTTTACCGCCACGTGTGTATACTCATCAATTGGCCGATAACACCTACACACACTGAGGACCGCAGAACGTGGGCAATTGTGGATAGCGTCACCTCATCGCGTGGCCCCCTTCTCGTCTGTCCGTGGTTTCTCCGCGCTCCTCCGATTACTCCTCTGTCTACGAGAGCGAGCGAACACTGCGGCGGCAGTGATTCACAAGTGCAAATCATCATCATCATCATCACTGTTATCATCATTGTTCTTTTCAGAACACCAACGAGTCGGAGCTGGCGATTGTGGTGTGCGAGGAGCTGTGGACCGGCCTGGAGGACCAGCGTCTCGCCTACTCGTGCGCGATGGTGATCGTGTCCTACTTGCTGCCCTTGCTGGCCGTGTCGGCCTCCTACTGCGCCATCTCGCTCACCCTGCGAGGCCGGGTGCCTCCCGGCGGTGCGCACTGCACCGTCAACGCGCGCCGCACCTGGCACCAGAAGCGTCGCAAGACGTTCCGCCTGCTCGTCATGTCCGTGGGTACATTTGCACTCTGCTGGCTACCTTTGCAGGTACAATATTTGTTTTAAACACGCATGTACATTATTCCTTGGTTATTCACAAACTTAATGAACGCGAATGTGGCTATCCGAACTGAATTGCATCTGGAACTTTACACGACTTTTGCCATTTTTTATTCTAACATTTTTTTGGGTCTCTTTCTACCAAACAAGATTCTGTAAAAACAATGGCAATGCTTTGGTGGAAGGAAACATAGGCAGGCAGAGGATGACCAACAAAAATATGGACTGATGGAGTGTAGGAGGCATTATAGTCTTCCCTTGTTATTCAACAACTTGCTTTCCGCGATTTTGGCTATCCGCGAATCGTATCTGGAACTCTACACGAGTGCGTCGAGAGAGAGATTAAGTGATGAGATAGAGTGATGAGGGATAATGTGATGCGAGAGAATGTGATAGGAGAAAGTGAGGTAAAGCGATGAGAGAGAAAGTTATGAGATAAAGGTAAGTTCATGTATAAACTATGATATGATACTTTTATATTTATTTTATGTTTATTATAACTAACAACATGTTTTTGGGTGTTATGATAATTTTCATGATTTAAAAGCTGGTGTATTTATTTAAGGTAATTAATTTGCTATTCACAAGCATCTCTAGAAACGTATCCCTCGCTAGTAACGAGGGATTCATGTATACCATAAAGCCGTCATGTCCAAAGGACATGCGGGATTATGGTATATATGATTCGCGAGGGAATCCAAGCGACATGTCTCAGGCCATATTTGTGAACACAAGGGGGATCTGAAATACGGTAGGACTAATACCTCTGCGTGGCTGATCATTGTTTTAACGCTGTGGGCACACACGAAATTGATTTCTCCAAGACGAAGGGACTATGCAAACCAACTGGATATCAACAAAGATTTGTTAATGAAGCCATCCAGATATATAAACACAGACACAATTTCAACTGAGAAGATGGGTACAAACTGAGCAATCATTGGAAGGACGTTATTAACCAGATAAAGTCATAACTGGCTGTGATGCTTCCATCCTACCTGCAGATGTTAACAGTTATTTCCGACTCTCTGAGTTACATTACCTTGTTAAATGTCTTTACATTAACAGGCTAAATGTCTCACTAACATAGCTGCTTCTCCCTTTTGGGGCGGTCGCGTTCGTTGTTAAATGGGCTGAATGTCTCTCATTAACACAGCCGCTGCTGCGGGAGCCATCTCACATTGACATGCTAATCTCTAATCTCTAGCAATACAATGGCTTCTTCAGCACCGTAGTCGAGGGGTTACATTAACAGACTGACATGCTAATCTCTAATCTCTCCGTAGTGGTGGTTAATTTACCATATTGACATGCTAATCTCGAGCAATACAATGGCCGAGGTTTATTACTAGTAAATTCCATCTCTAGCCCTGCCCACTTACCCCCTTGGGTTGTACCCATCTCGAACCTCTATAGCCTCTTGCTGCAGTAGTTCTCTCGCTATAGTTCTCCTGCCTCAGCAGTTCGCCTGCTGTAATTTCTTTTTCACCTCAAGACGATTGCTTCTGTTGCGATCGAAACGTCGTGATTTATTTTCCATTTTTCTATCTACGTGACTTTACCCAAAGAGTATTACTCTAGTCTATTATTTGTCACTTCGTCTCTGTTTCTCGTCGGGGTGCGGGGTGTGGCGGACCTTTGGGCCCAGCGGTTATTACCCGCGGCTGTTTAAACTGAAGATGGCGACAGCGCCGCAGCAGCTGGCTGCCGTCCCGTGTCGCTCCCACTGGTCATCTCCTGTTACCACACCTCGTACCTTACCCACGCCCTTCTTCACTATCCCCTGCTCTTCTTACTTTCATCTTTCACTCCATCTTTCTTATTATTTATGTTGTTTTATTATTTTCCTCAGTATTACTTTGGCGGCTCCCGAGGCGGTGGCAGAACCCTGCCTCCAACCCCGCCTGCCTCTGCGCACACTGCACACGCCCCGTGGCGTTGCAACAGCTGACACATGCCGGCTGCTGCAGTGTCACACAGCCCGGCTTACCTGCCGCCTCGGTGTCACACAGCCCGGCTTACCTGCCGCCTCGCACAGCTGAGGGGCTGTGCGGGTGAACGAGGCCTGCTGCTCCCACGCACGAGGCTGGAGGACGCTGGCTGCGCTGTTCATGCCGTGCGGCTTAACAGCCGCCCCGGGTCCGTTTCCTGCCAGCGACGTCCTCACAAGGACTTCTTCTGCCACTATCAGTGAGTGGGAGCTTGGCGTGCCCCAGCATCACCAGCAAGTGGGAGCTCGACGTGTTCCATTCACTGTTCAACACCACCAGCGAGTGGGAACGTGACGCAGACTGTCCACTGCTCAACACGAGAGAGCGGGTTTGACTGCTGCCCAGCACCACCAGTGAATGGGAGCTCGGCAAGGTTCGTCCACCCTGCCGCATCACCTGCGAGCTGGAGCACAGCGCGTGGTCAGCTACTCCACTGGACCTCGTGTTTTTCTGGCCACGTGCGTGGTCGTTTCCGCCCGCGTACGTGCTCAACGAGTGTTCACGTAGGCGTGTACGCACCCGCCACATGCGGGGAAGCGCATGCTGACGGAGTGGATCTTGGACACCTCTACCTGGACTTGCTGCTCCGTGCAGCACAGCCGCTGATTGGAGTCCACCTGAATACTGGCCCCCCCATCACCACCACCGGTACAGCATGGGTTGATATAATAGGGCTTCGACATGCACCATCTCTTCATCATCTGCACCTGGAATCCGCGCTCCTGAGGACGCTCTCTGGCCTCAGGCTTCTTCGAGGTCAACGTCAGAGACACCGTGGTTGCAGAGGCGGTAGGGGCCACTGTTCACATGTCAACCTTCAACCAGCTATTTCCTCTGATCTCTCGATGCCGTACCTCTTCGGATCTTCACATCCACCTTTACCCATCCTCCTTGGCCTACTTAACTCATGCTCCATTACAAATAAATCAGCCCTGATTCACGATACCATCTCGGACCATCACATCGACCTTTTGCTTAATATTGAGACCTAGTGCAGGCCAGACTCCGGGATACAAGGTTCTTTACAAACCTCGCGCAACTAACCAGCGGGGTGCTGGCTTAGCGGTCATCTACAATGCACACTTGAAAATTAAAGAGCTCGATCTACCGATGGCTCCCGCCACCTTTGAGGTCCAGTCCGTGTCCCTCACTACTAATACCCGAGTGCTTTTCCATCATTTCCATCCATCGCCTTCCAGATGGCAGCATCACTACCTTCTTAAATGAGCTTTCCGAATGTATTTACCTCATTCCTAACCCATCTCAGAGGCTCGTGCTTACTGGAGACTTTAATTGCCCTGGCAATACCCCAGCCTGCATTGATAGCCACCTCGAGTCAACCTTGGCCTGCCATAACTTGGTCATCACCAACTCGGGCCCCACCAGTGCTTCCTCAACAAATATTGAGAGTATGCTCGACCTGGTTCTGGAACCTGACCACAATTGACGCATCACTGGACTGGGAATTTTCTAAACTGGTTAATCCGACCACCACCTCATACAATTTTCCCTTCAACCTCCAAAGCCAATCACCATCAAAATCACCCGACACTCCCGTAATTCCAAGGGTATCAAGTTTTCCACTCTACAGCACCTCCTCGCAAATTTGCCTTCAATGTTATCCCCATCATCAGATCCAACTGTCTGTGCTCTTCAACTAGAACCTGACCTGAGAGAGGTGCTGGACAAGCTGGCTCCATTCAAACAACGAACCACGAGGCAGCCTTTCCACAACACTTGCTGGCTCTCAAGAGACGCCATCCTTGCTAAGCGAATCAGGAGGCGCCTTGAAAGGATCGCGTCCCAGAGTGGTCTTCCTGCTGACCGAGTTGCCTACAGAGCTGTCTGCAGAAAACTAATGAACGTATCCTCTCGTTCCTCCTACATTGAAGAACGTATCAAAATGGCTACCAGAAAACCACGCATCCTTGGAAAACCTTCAAGGATCTTCTACATCCTGGTAGCACCATGATCCCTCACCTTAGCGATCCCCTGGCCTCACTGAAACTTGCCACCTCTTTCAAAACTTACTTCACCAACAAGCTGATCACCATCGCAAGCTCCTGCACGTCTTCCCTCACATCGCACCATCGTACCCCGCTCCCGTTTTCTGAAATTGAAAGCACTCACCCAGACACCTTTCTAACCACGTTCAAGCCGGTGTCTTCAAAAAACATTTTCTCTTTGATTCAATCACTTCACATGAAGTAATCTCCACTCGACGTCCTCCCAGGTTCCTTGTTCAAGCAATGTGCTCTGGAACTCGTCATCATGATCAGGAACATCGCAAATGCCTCATTTTCTACGGGGTGTTTTCTATCCGACTTGAAATCTGGCCTGGAAACCAAGTCTCGATCTGGATGACTCATCTAGTTATTGTCCCATCACTAATCTCTCGAACCTCTCTAAACTCCTCGAAAGACTCGCGGACGACACTATTCTGTTCACCGCCATCAATTCTACCAATGCGTCTGGATTTGAGAGGCTCTCGGAATGTACCACTGCCCTGCAACAGTGGTTCTCTGCACACAACCTTGCCCATAATCCGTCAAGGTCCGTGGCCATCATGTTAGGTACCAGGCAACGTCTCAACTCATCCGTGCTCCCAACACACAGACACATCTTTGGTCACAGCATCAGGTTCACCGATCACTTCAGCTACCTCAGTGTCATCCTAGATTCAACTTTATCTTTCGACTGTCAAACCAATCATATCATCAGTTCATGCAACTTTCACCTGAAGGCTCTCAAACACCTACGTCCTCTGGTTTCCACTGAAACTGCCAACACATTGGCATGTTACATCGTTGGATCTTGCCTCGACTATTGCAACTCCGTCCTAGTCCGGACCTCATCTGGCAACCTAAAAAAACTTCAAACACTACAAAACAACCTGGCACGCGTCGTCATTGGCTGCACTCATCCCCATCTCGACTCACTTGCCTGTCTCCATGCCCTCCACTGGCTACCAGCAGGGTCACATACAAGATCGCCTGCCTCTGCCACCATGCCTTCACATCTGTCTGCCCCCCGTACCTCTCTTTATTATTGACGACTTGCAGCACAGCACGTGGCAGATGCCTTCGCAGTGCGACTCACGACCTCCTCTTGATGCCAAGATCCAGGATGGTCACGTCTATGCGCTTCTCGGTGACTGCCCCAACAGTCTGGAACGCCATCCCCTCTGCACATTCGCAGCATCACCTTAATTGTCTCCTTCAAGAGACACCTAAAAACTCACCTCTACAACCTCACTTTTGAGTGACTCTGAGCTTGGCTCCGCGCCTCTGAGTTGCGGCCGTGACGTCCGCAAATTTGCGCACATTATAATCTGCATTATTATTATTGAACCATATATGCGGAACACACCATCTGCTTCACAGTGGACATTAAAGATCCCCTCATGTCATTTGAAACGAGTTAAAGACCCAACGCAGAAGACCCCTGGGTTTGATCTCCCACGAAGCTCATGGTCCACCCTAAACCGCATCCACCGCACAAACCATGGAAGTAGATGTGGCTACCTGACGCACAAATTAAAAACTAAAAACTCTCCAGCGGTAGTGTGCGACTGCGGTCATCCAGAACAGACGGTACGACGTATAATGATGCGATGCACGATCCGCAGATGCGAAGGAGACATCACAGCGATACCACTCCGCTGCTTTTGATGCAGTTATCTGGCTTTACCACCTGAATGTGAAATTGTAGTTTTTTTCTCTGCATCTACACCAGCCATACGAGAGAAGACGATTCGAAACGCAGAGTCCATCCTTTTGCCGGTGTCATGGTAGAAATGTCAAGATTTTTCAAAAAAATCGACTCAATTAATTGGCATGACAATGAAGCAATTATCTTCCCCGACTGGCAGACGAATGCGCACTTGTAGGCCGCTGATGAGTCACCCTGTGCAGCACAATAACAGCTGCCACTCAGGGTGCCCTATCAGATGTTTGAGATAATGATGAAAGGCACTTCGAGTTGCCGAGGCATTTAAGCAAGCGCCTTATACATATTCAATAGTATATAATTATATTAAAACATGTACGGGCGCATCTGTCTGGTACAAGTATTCCATTCTTTCTCAAAATATCTTAAAGCACAAAAGTTCAGCTGATGATGAATTCGGTAGTTTTGCTCACAAGCCAATTATCTCGTGTTTTGGAGGTTAGGTCGGTGGTTCATCGTGTACATAACACATCCAGCTGTAAGGCGAAGGAGCATGCTACACAGCAGGAGAGATCAGTGGGTTGCTAACGTATCTGTACGGGATTTGTAAGCGTCATTTATTTATGTGTGGGTTTCCTACAGCTCGCTTTGGTTTTCCCTTCGCGCTCAAATTACTCGGCAAATTGGTTACACATCAATCTAGATTTGGTTACACATCCCAAGCGAGACTGCCACGAAAATGAATCGCAAGGTTCAGGTTGAGGCCCTCCGAGGAAAAAGGTTCTATTACAATCAGACTTGCGCTACTTCCCATTTAATTGCACATCAAGATTATGTAGAGTGACTCAATCCTTTGGTAATATTTTCTGGATGAAGAAAAACAACACACTCGCTTTAGTCAATATAATAGAAGAAAGCAGTACTATCCTCACGCTTTAATCCAAGCACCCAAGCTTTGCTTGTGCCCCAGCAGAAGCCAATTATAGTCCACCTGAGAGCGCATGCCCGTGCGGCTTAAGTGATTTAATAAAACGAATAATGAAAGCTTGTAAATGCACGGCGGGCAAGCCAGATGTTTTTGTTGTAATTACGGTTCTGTAATTATCAATCTTTGCGTCCACACACCTACATCTTCCTTTGATCGAATTGCACAGTTGGGGTGAAGGCTGTGTATGCGCAAAGTGTGCGTGCGTGCATGTGAACGGTTAGCGCACTGTGCGATGAACCCGGTGACTCGATTAATGCTCACGGTCAAAAAGTGACGAGTATTTTAACCGGTCCTGGGCTTCCCCTAGGTCGACTCAGCCTTGCGGTGTTGGCCACCCACTCCCTCGTGTATCCGTGCTGGCCTTTATAGGTGCTCGCTAACAGCACTTGCCCCTACAGTCTGTTAAGGCTACACGGGGGATATTTGTCTTTGCTTAATTTAAAATAAAAATGTAGGAACTGCATTGGCAGAAGTAAAGGCGCAACCCTGCAACTCCGATAAGCAAAATTGTCTACGTACGGTAAAAAAGAAGTTTAACATATGTATATACACCACTGCTGGTGGAAGGTGCCTCAACTAGAGGGGAGATCATAGATACATTACGTGGTTGATGTTTCTGAGGCTAGTATGCACAATGGTTGCGACCTGTCTAGGTTTGACCCACAGTCTGGGAATTGGCACGTGTGCAAGTGGGGAATCTACAGAGATCTGGTACTGGTGTTGTGCTGCATGCAAGTGTAATGACAGGGTGACACCTGCCGGCCTGTAAGGGTCATTGCGGTTATAGCTGCATTACATAATGCCTTATTATGAAGGGGCGTATCTGGGGTAAAGGTCAAGGGCAGAGTCAGTCGAGAACGTCCTGGAACCAACCCAAAAGTTCTGGAAAGGGGGCGTGGTCAGAGGTGGCGCTCGGCCGCGCCAGGCAGGTATAAACAGCACCGAAGCTCTGGTTCGGGGCTGTTAGCGTGGGGTCTGGGTCCTGGTTGCGTCACTGCCGTCACCTCTTCGTCTTCGACCACGTGGCTGTGCTTCTGCAAGACCAGCTCGATCGCCACCGCTACGCTCGTCAACCAGCCAGCGTGGCGCAGGACGGAGATGGGCTGCATGTTTGGACAGCCTGGGTGTAGCCGCGTTACCAAGTGTATTGCCCCGTGTGCTCTTAATAAATAAGAAGCCTTCAACTAGACGTGTGTTGGAAGTCGCTCACTCCACATGTATATTAAACTTCTTTCGCACCATGCATAGCCAACCGTGCTAATCAGAGGTGCGGGGGAAGGACAACAAACTAAACACAAAAAGCAGTTCTCAAGAAATGAGTTTTCAATCTAGATGATTCAACAGTGCATAGCTATGTTCAACTTTATTACAGTGTGTGGCAGTTTTGATAGGCAGAGTGCTGACTGACGAATACGTCTGGGCTCGGTCAGTCTTCACGGTGTCATCCCTAGCAGACGCTGCTCTTGTACCTCGCTGTGGCCGATAAAGTGCAACACTCATCAAGTGCTCGCTTTGAGTTCGCTTTGCCGCCGAGTTAACGCCTCGCCAGTTGCAACACTGAACCCTCCCCCCCCCCCCCCAAAAAATAAAAAACGTGACATTACAAAAGGACGACTCTCGCCCCGTGGGCGCGGCGCAGGTGTTCAACCTCATTCGGGATCTCGACCCGGAGGTGACTCTCGTCAGCAAGCGCTACTTCAACGTCATCCAGCTGTGCTGCCACTGGGTCGCCATGAGCTCCACGTGCTGGAACCCGTTCATCTACGCGTCGCTGCACCACAAGTTCGCGCGCGCCGTCCGCCACCGCTGCTGGGGCGGCCTCTGCCTGGCGCGCCCGCAGAGGGCCGCGCTGGCGCGGGCGGCCGCGTCCTGCCACGGCGGAGGCGGCGGCCGCTCGATGTCACGCAGCCCCATGGGGACGAGCTCGCTGTCCAGTAAGTCGTCGCGCTTCCACACGCCGCAGCCGAGCCACGGCGTCGTCTACAGCCTGTCGGCGGGCTCGTCGTGCGCGGCGGCGCGACTGGCCGCGGCGGTGGCCGAGGCCGAGGCCGAGGCCGCGCTCGAAGACAGCCCCGGGAGCAGTGGCGGGCGGGCTGAGGCCCCCCGGGAGCGGCGGCCGCGTGGCGCGGGCGAGATGCCGGAATTCACCCCGCCCGGACCGGGACCAGCACGCGAACTTCATTCCCCATCACTCTGCGGGGATAAGTTCCCATGAGGTCTTGGGCAAGCTGCGTCAGGAATGTCCGATGGGTCGTTGTTGTTTTGTTTTTTGCTGTTGGCACCATCACGACCGTCGACATCACTATTATTATTATCATCATAATTTTTTTTGTGATCATTGCCTTCAAAATATTGTCATCATTTGAACATTATTGTCATGATTATTATAATCGTCAGTCCAGTATTATGATTGTCATATTTACACCATCACCGTTTTCAATACTTTATTATCTCTTTTTATAATCAGTAAAGTTTATATTGCAATAATCATGTTCAATAACATGTTAGCATCATTAATATCACATTAGAAGTTAAAACACATCTCTGAATGTACCAGTTTTGTGATTTTGTGGAGTATGCATTTGCTAACGTTTAGTATGTTACTCTCATTTGACATCAGTGTGCACATTACAACTGGCATTGCCGTGTTCACTATATACACGGTGTATCCGTTAGGCATTTAATGTTTCACCCTCCGAGTGACTCGACGAATCGTCACGATTCAGGTCATTATTCTTATTTTTTGGCTCATTTGGTTCCCCTCGTTTTCACATCATATCTCGGCCTGTCTTGTTCCAGTAGCCTGACGGTCACACATTCTTTTGAAATGTAAACAGTCGCGTATGCTCTCGCAGACCAATGCTGTTCATAAGAAAACATTTTTTGAGTTGGATGTGTGTCATAAAACCACCTCCACCCGACAGCCAATTTGTAAAGTTTATCACGTGGACAATCAATGGCGGAGCCAGGATTTTCATGTAGGGGGGGGCAACCCCTCCAGCAACTAAAAATTATAGGAGTTGTTAGTAAGTAAGGACTTGTCCCTTGCTTTTTATTCGACGCGTGTGCGGCGATGGCGCAGCCATCGATCGAGGGTCGAATTCGAACCGTGTGCGATCGACATCGCGTTCGCTGAAGGTGTTGATGCTTTCAGGGACGTCTTGTACTGTGTACGCAACTGCGCACAATTCTGAGTCACTTGTAACTGCTTTTGCGTTACTTATTACCAATTATGGACTCAGACTATTGTCCTATCATCTCATAGTGTCCCTGGCACGTAATAATATGCTACACAAGTGGCAGTGGGGGTCGCAAAATTCAGATTTACCTATCTTCTATCTTCTCTTCTATATATATAAAAGTCAAAAATTGCGTGTGGGTTTGTGGCGGGGTTTGTGTGTAGGTCTGTGGGTGTTCCTGCGCTTGACTCTCAAACGGTGGGGTTTACGTAAAAAGAAAAAATCCAGGTACCACGCCGTAAGCCCCGCGGTTAGCAAGCGCTATTCATTTTCCACATCCGTCAACTTAAAATTAGTTTAATTAGCAATTTAGTGCGATTTTTGTGTGCTGCCCTTTTATTTATTTATTACACGTGCACGACCATACCAACTCACGCACCTTTGGTGGGGGGGACGGCCCATGGCCAGTCGCACACCTTCGGTGGGAGTGAGGGGGACATTTTCTTTCAATGTTAAAAATGCTATAAAAATACACTAAACGCTGATGTTTATTCTTCAGTGTGTGATACCCCCCCACCCTGATACGTGCAGTTATTACTACTATACAGTCGCTAGATGCTACCACTATGGGTCGTAGATATTATTGCAGAGCGGCCGGGGAGATCGTGGCTGAGGGGGGGGGGGTGGTCAGGGGTAGCAGCCCAGCCCCAGCCTGCCAAGGTGCCATCTCGGCCGGCTGAATAATCTAGGCGAGACCGGAGGCTCTGCACGGGACACGGCCTCACCACGCCACTCTGTCAGGTGAGCACTTTGTACTATAGAGCAGGTACCACCACAGTCAGTATGCACTGCTGTAATAATAGCAGGTACCACCACAGTCAGTATGCACTGCTGTTATATTTTTGAGAGTAGTTTTAAAATATAAATTTGATCCGGGCAATGCCAGGTACTTCCCGCTAGTTACTAATAAACCCCAATAATCTGATCGAAATTAGAGATTTCAATCGGACCTTTGGGGGGGGGGGGGCACGTGCCACCCCACCCCCCCACTGGCTATGCCAGTGTGGACAATACGTACCATTTTGTTACTACAGCACACCAGTTGTGTGTATTGGAGAGCAAACCCACAATTGAGTGCTCAATTTACATTTGACTCAATTTACGATTGAGTGCGTAGCAGATTTAATGCATATATTGCATGCGTAAGAATCGATTTTAATCGATGGGCTGAGGAATCGTCAAGCTCGGGGTGAGATATTTTCCACCCATGTGCACAACGAACTATTACGTGCTCTGCATGTGCTGAGAGAACACAGTTTGTAATTAATATTGTAAACCGGACTATGAGACACACTTGCCAATTTAATGAATACGTGAAATTAAAAGTAATTACTGCGGTTGTTTGATGCTCGATTTTAATGCCAATATTGAGAGGATAGTGATATTAGCAGACATTGGAGATATCACTGCTACTCTTAAATACGAACAACATTTTAAAAAATGCATACAATTAATCAACACGAATGAGTGGCAATTCCATACCAACTGCGCGCACTTCAGCATGAATTTAGGAACTCTGCCAATTTTTACCCATCTGTCACCAAATTAAAAAAAGCCATTGAGCTGAAACGCTTTAGTTATTGGAGCACTCTGCTGTAAGCTACCGTCTGGATTGATGATGCATTTATCAAGAGGAGGTTCGTTCGTTTACGTCTCAATCCTCTTGTCCTGGTGAGGGTCTTGGCAGCAGCGCATTGAGAAGGGCGGTCTGGACCTCCATTTCCCTGGTGACAGACTCTAGCTCTACATTACTATACACTACTACACTATACACTGCTATACACTGCACTACTATACACTACACCACTATACACTACACTATACACTACACTGTTATATACAGACTCCAGCTCTTGCTGGGGAATTCCCAAGCGTTCCCAGGCCAGCCAAGCGACATTGTCCCATCGCCAGCGTGCCTTGGGCCAGCCTCAGGATCTTCGCTGAGTGGGACGTGCTGCTGCTGCCCGGTAGAGTTCCAGGGGGAATCTACCGGGGGGCATCCTTACAAGGTGCCCGAACCACCTCAACTGGCTCCTCTTGATCTGCAGCAGCATCGGCTCGACTCTGAGGCTCTCCCGGATTCCCGATCTCCTCGCCCGATCACGGAGGACCCTCATTTTGGTTCCTTGTACCCGTGACCTCATCCTTTCGGTCATTACCCAAAGCTCATGGCCATAGGTGAGGGTAGGAACGTAGTTCGACCTATAAACTGCGAGCTTTGTTCGAGAGCTCAGCTCCCGCATCACTCCCACCAAACGTTACAGCGCACCGATCCGCCGGCCGATCTCCCGCTCCCAATTACCGTCATTTGCGAAAGAGACCCCGAGGTACTTAAACTCCTCCACTAAGGGCAGCTTTTCCCCCAACACCATAGGGTGACTATCAGAGAACAGAAGAGACGGGTGAGTCACAGTGAGGAAGCTGACGGTCCATCCACTCACACACGGCTCACTCATACACACAGCTCACTCTCACTCACACACAATCGCATGCAGCTCAGAGGAGACGGGTGAGTGAGAGGTAGAGCCATGCTCCGTCCACTGCTGCCCTGAGGGACCCCCGTGATCTCCACTGCTGGCTTGAGGGAGAGCAGTGCTCTGTCCACTGCTGCCCTGAGGGAGAGCCATGCTCTGTCCATTACATTAGTACTCGAGTTTTTTTGGTGCTTAAATCCACTGCTGGATGATGGCCCACCACATGCTGTGCGAGTGGATCGTAAGGATTTACTTGACCAGTCTGTTGGAGGCCGCTGCAGGCTGTGGTTGTTGGGGGGCGCTGCAGGCTGTAGTTGTTGGGGGGCGCTGCAGGCTGTGGTTGTTGGGGGGCGCTGCAGGCTGTGGTTGTTGGGGGGCGCTGCAGGCTGTGGTTGTTGGGGGACGCCGCAGGCTGTGGTTGTTCAGGGCCGCCGCAGGCTGTGGTTGTTCAGGGACGCTGCAGGGTGACTTACAGAGAACACACGGTTTGTTTTGCTTCTCAAAGCCTCTACACGTCTCCCACCAATATCATTTACAACACATTTATACATCTTATAACTCTCTACTCTTGAAAGATATGGAGCCATCGCATTTGCAATATTCAACCCGCCTGTTTGGGAATACAAGTAAAGAGAGTGTCATTAGAAACTGGTAGAGTGCATCTATCATTGGATCGATGCTGCATCAAAATGTCAGAATTATAAGTTATTTACATTCTACAGCACAACGTGTGCATGGTCTTGATACAGGGTCAGTGTCGGTAATCTTTTGAGATGTTGTTTACAGAAAGGCCTCATTCATACCTCACTGTGGGCCTTGTAGGGCAGTGAGAGTATTTTTTTATATTCACCGTTTGACATTGATATTTGATACAGGGTATTGCCGCTTAAATGCCTAAGCTTGCTTGCAGGTCAGCCCATACACACGCGGAGTGGCTGAGCCATCGTGGGTAAAACTCGATGCCACTTATGGCTGCAATTGATGATAACGTTACTTCTGCGTAGGTTTTTTCGCTTGTGCCGTGTATTTCGACTATGTGTTTTCGGGTCGTGTCGCTTGTTCGGCAATGTCAGACATTTTGCCCTGTGCGCTGGGAGCTTCTGCAGGAGCCGAATCGTTCCTGAAGAAGCTCCCGGCACGCGGAGCGAAACGTCGCACATCGTGCTGAACAACACAGGGGTGCAGCCGGAAAACAACACCACCTGGAGACAACCTGAAACGCAATTGACCCGTACAATGACAATGCTTACACTAAATATGTTTGTCTTGGTGTCAAGTGGCATGAGCCCGTGGGAGTCGTTGCTCGCCGCTGCTTGAGATGCTGGTTTTTAAACGCGTAACAGAACGTTTTACATGTAGAACACATTCCAGTGATCGTAGGTTTCCACTGCAAGTGATAAGGACAGGGTATTATGTAGAATAAGAGAGTGGGCTTGTGTAACACAGCTATGATGTCCTGCATCGTTAATACGCGACGAGACAGAGATTCTGTATTATATTTTACTTATTAAAATGTCAAACATGGAAAGTCCCTTGAGATGGAACATCTCACTTGCAATGGTTATCCAAGGTGTTGAGTGACACGTACATGACAGCCACATAATAACGCGACCAAAGAGGTCACTGGTTTGGGTGAAGAGATTTAATTTTGATACTGAATGTTCCATTTCTCAAATAGAGCATCGTGGTTTTCATGACTACTCCAGTCTATAGGCAAGTCAAAGTTGGTCGAGTTAAAACTCCCAAATTTAGATCGTCTAAGAGCCTTGTGATGTGTGGTCTTCAAGACATAATACAAAGGCCACCATCCTCCGAATAGCCTCCAACAGACTGTTTGGGCAAGTGATGTTAGCGAGCACCTATTAAGGCCGAAGAGGGACACGAGGGTGGGATGACCAGCACCACTCCCGGCCACCTTTATCTTTCCAGTGACAATGTTTACATACCGCACCAGGTACTCATTTGAGGTTGAGTTCACCTCGGGGAAGCCCAGCACCGGTTCACATAATCATCACCGATGTTGACCGTGAGCGAGAATCGAACCCGGGTCGCCAGGTTCGTCGCACAGTGCGCAAACTGCCGCACTTTCGCTCCCCACAAGACAGGATACCTAAATACATAGACATGCATGTATTATTATCATTGGACATGCATGTATTGTTATCAGTGGACATGCATGTATTGTTATCAGTGGTGGCCCGTTGGACAAATTGGTGGGACACGGAAGCCAGTTGAGGTTGGGTGTTATGATTTTCTTTTAAGGCTGCAGTGTTATTGACGAATGTGAGTGTTCTGTTAATAGTCGCGTGCGCGCCACTGCCAATGCAGCAGCAACAGAATGAGCAACGCCAAGCGATTAATGGCCAGGTGCGTGATGTCAGTGGCCAGGTGAGTCATTGTCGAGGGTTGTATTTCCCTTTGTCACGAGTTGGTCCTGGCGCTGCTGGGCCCTAATGATGAACCACCACCGAATATAGATCACGGACAGCAATTCAAATACTAATGTTTCGGCTTACGTGCGAGCGTTAAACGGCTAGCGTAAACTACATGCGAGAACATTTCCTTAAATATGAGATTACTGATGTGTTCAACATTTGCCATTCTACACAGCGAAGAAGCCTTTAAATACAGAGCCAGTGCATACGGTTACGTAACATGCATACGTTTCATTTAAAAGTTGTGAAATGGACACGCAGAGCGTCGTGAGAATAATGCGCAGCATGAATGGCCGCTTTGTGAGCCTGGCTGATTTAATTCAACAAACGAGCAATTTGGCGCTGATCATGAGAACAAGCTACTTTGTATACAGTGGCAATTTCCACACGGATGAGCATTGCCAACCAACTATTGCCGTACGCCTACGCTGGTTCGTACTCCCGCTGGAGAATCCGCTGTCGATTTGCCATTGCAAGCAAGGTGCCACTTCACGCCAGCGCCTCAATGGGACGTTTTGTTGTTGTTACTCTCACCATCCCTTCTGCCGATTATATCCGAGCCTGCTGTACAAAGCTAGTGACTATGACCAAATCATCTGGGACTGCGCCTCGTCTAATCACATCTTGCAAAATCTGGGCACAGTTGAGCCTGGATAGTGTGCTGAATGGGGTGACTCACGCACAAGGGTGATATTGAATCTCTACGATTCTAATGTACCAACCATAGCCTCCCCCCCCCCCCGTGCAATTCAATTGTCGCGATTTGATTCACGTATAAAAACAAATTTGCCGAGTGAACGTGGTGGTCAGCATCGGACAGTGCAGCAAATTCAGTTGTACTGACAATAAGTGGTGAAGTATGGTCTAAACATCCGTCACTGTCCACGCGGCATGGCGAGGTCCTCATCCAGCAGTGGATTAACACAAGGGTGGTGTTTCTTCAATAGAAGTCCGCTGGTTTTAATATCGCTGTTTTCATGCTATCATTCAGCAGAATACAGATTTTTGGTATACAGCAGTGTTTTTTTATCTTTCTAAAATAAACAAATCACCTGTGAAGTGTGCATAAGCATGTGTATTTGTCAAAGTCCAGTGGTATGAATATAAAGTGTGAAAATTTATGTTTAATGTAAAGCGACAGCACTGCCTGTGATACTGGTTTATCATCGCTACGAATACACAATGCACTTGTCTCTATGCATTTAAGCAGCTGTTGCTCATCATCATCAGCGGTTGATCAATATTTGTGAACGTGGACCACGACTGCGTAGCTTGTCACGGTTGTGCTGTGGAGCTCTCTCCGATTTGTTTTTAGAGTTTGCCCCACGTGCTGTCCTGCACCATTTCCGACGTTTCGCTCCAAGCCTGCGGTGCCCCCAGCCCGTGGAGCGAAACGTCTGACATAGCGACAAAGTCGAAAGTATGTAAGAATGTAAGGATGCACTATGTGGCTGGAAAACCTCCTTTCAGGTTTTCCTAAACTCTGTTTACTGCAACCCAGACGGTACATAATTCCATTGCTTGTGCTGTTAATATATAATGTTCTAGATTTGAAGCTTTCGTGACTGCAAGGATTCATATTCTTAGGTTTTTTTTTCGGTAAAGTCACGTAGGTAAAACATCAAAATTAATAAAAAAATAAATAAAATAAAACAAAAATCACGACGTTTCGGAGGCAACACAAATCTCCGTCATCAGGTGGGACCATCACAGCCGGATTAGCTGCATCAAGTGAGACAATGATTCCAGATGTAATCCCTTAATAAGTATAACCCGTAAAACAAAGTTTTTCACTATAAATCCTTTATATGCGTGGCAGCGAACTTAATCTAAAGGATTAAAAAATATATTCGCCTGTGGAGGACAAGGGGATCGATCCCGCGACCTTTGGCATGGGAAGCGAGGGCGCTACCAACTGCACTACTCCGCCACGGCCTGTGGAGGGGTTACGCGCTGGGCTCTTATACTGTGACGTTCAGCCAAAGCCAAGAATGAGTTCTATTTGAATATATGTAAAATATATTTTTTTTGCCTAAAAAGTGTAAAATTTTGGGAATTTTTTTTCACGAACATTAATTGTCTCGCACAACGAGTCTTTGTGGAAAATATCAGCTCGATTGGATCACGGGAAGTGGGGTAAAAAACGACCGAAAGATTTGCACGGTCGTAAGCAAGCAAGCACGCAAGCAAGCAAGCATGCGAACTTAATATAAAGGATTTAAAAAGCAAGTTGAGGGGGAGGAGAGGGGGGGGGAGCTAATCAGAATGTGGTAGCCAATGAATGGAACGTATCGGGAGGGAGGGAGGGGGGGCGGGGCTCAAAGACGGCACGGAGTGCCAACGTACAACGCATCGGGAGGGTAAGGGGGGGCGGGGGCGAAAAGAATGCACGACGGCGTGGGCGCTGTTGCTGTTGCACAACGCCAACGCATTGCCGTCGTGCATTCTTTTGGCCCCCCCCCCCCTCCCGATGCGTTGTACGTTGGCACTCCGTGCCGTCTTTGAGCCCCGCCCCCCCTCCCTCCCGATACGTTCCATTCATTGGCTACCACATTCTGATTAGCTCCCCCCCCCCTCTCCTCCCCCTCAACTTGCTTTTTAAGGGATTACATCTTGAATCATTGCCTCACTTGATGCAGCTAATCCGGCTGTGATGGTCCCACCTGATGACGGAGACTTGTGTTGCCTCCGAAACGTCGTGATTTTTGTTTTATTTTATTTATTTTTATTAATTTTGATGTTTTACCTACGTGACTTTACCGAAAAACAAACCTAAGAATATATAATGTCTTAATTTCAATATAAATGTGAATAATCAATGCATTCTATACACGAGATATGTAACGATTCACACCCCACCCCGCCACCGCTGATTCATG